TTTATTTTCTTTAAATTTGTTGGTAGCTTTTATAACAAAAGAGAAAAAACAATAAATTTTTTTATTGAAATAATTAATAAAAAGAAATTAAATCTTCTTTTACAAAATCACAAAATATATGTATTTATTTTACAATGAATTTTTCTCCTTCCATTAGAATTTCTTTTCATATAAAAACTCCAAAAATATGCATTTAGATGTAGGCTTAGGATTTTCCTTATCAAAATATTTAAAAAGACCAAATATGTATATTTTAGGTGTATGTTAGGATTTTCATTCGATACTAAAGTGCCAAAGATATTTTTCCTTTTAGATTTAATTAAGAAATAGTCTTGCTTGTGTCCTTGTGAATTGTTTGTCTTTTCTTGTATGATGTTTGTGCTAGGGTTTTCTCATAACACATGATAAGGTCTTGTTTTTTATGATTGATGTTTGATCACTTTTCCATATGTTGATGAATGCTATTTGATAATGATTGTGATTAAATCCAAGAGAAATGTATTATGTATGTTGACTTTTTGTCAAGTGTTTTCCTCTTGTGTGTTTATTACTTTTTTTGCCCATCTTTTCTTTGTTCTCATGTTTGATCCCTAAACCCTAATTTTCAAACTTACACCTCTTTCATAAATTTTTTTGACTTAGGTCATTGCATTGTAAAACTTTCTTTTCTTAGTAAATGCTAAAATATCTTAAGCATATCCAATTATTTTAATAAGACTAAAAAAATACAAAACTCACTCCATCATTTTGCCACTTGGACTTTTCTTTTAAAACCCTTTTTTTAAAAAGATTATGCATGAGTCATCTCCATAGTTGAGATGTAATTCTCCTATCCCCATTGCATTGATTGACATGATGTTGATTCTTTTTCACTTGAAAGAGTTGGTGACATACATGTTGATTCTATATCCAAGTTGGAGCCCTTCTTTTATTGTGATGCAAAGATCCATTTTCTCATTTGTGTGGTGGATTAGTGGAGTATTCTCCTTAAGATGACGACTTGTCTAGTCTTCTAAAAATAATCAACAAACAAATTTGTTCTTTTCTAGAAGAACTACAAGGTTCTGATTCTTCATTTCACTTTGTTGATACATAGGCACAATACTCTCGAAGTCTAGGCGAATCAAGAATCATAAAAAACAACTTTTTTTCTCATTTTCCCAATCTTTTTGTAAACAAACCATTTTAGCCAAAAACACAGATATTACAAGAGGTTCATGTAGAGTACTACAAATATTTTGGATTCTAACACATTTCCTTTACATAACCAACCCCATACCTTTAATCTTTATTTATTGATTTTCTTTTTGCTTTACTTTTAGTCTTGCTTCTTGCTTTGCATGTTTATTGTGGGTTTTGTTTGATCTTTTCTCCTTTTCCTTGGAAATAATAAAGTTCGATGGTGAATTCTTGTTTTACGAGTTAAGTTAGTCAATAGCTTAATCTCTGATTTTTCACCGCAACAGGTAGAAGTAGAGGTTGTTACTTTTGCAGGTATCCCTTAGAAAACATCATTGGAAGTTGACAAATCAAGATAAAGAAGAATGTCAAAAGTCTAAATGAAAGAGATGGGAGAGTTTTCTAAAATATCCAGTGCCATCTCAGAAAATTAAGTGGCTCTATTATAATGTTTAAAATTGACCATAATAAAAAGAATATTAAAAAAGTCATATTTTATTAAAATTAAGAAAAAAATGAATTATTTATATATAAATTTTAATAATATATTACTTGTAAATATTTAATTATTTATTTAGTTATATTTCAAAAGTTTAAAAAAAAATTAATATGGGCTGATGGTTTATCTATCTCAATTAATAAAAGGATTAAATAAATTTTTGATTTCTATAAATATCTCAAATTTTGTTTTTAGTCTCTCTAAAATTTTCCTTCAAAGAATGGTCCTCCTAAAAAATTAAATTTTAACTTTTAGTCCCTCCTGTAATTTAGCGACGGTTTTTACAACTTAGAGACGATTTTAGCGACAGTTTTAGTGATGGTTTTAGCGACGATTTTTATTTAGCAACGCAATAGAGATCATTTTAGCTACGATTTTGTTAGGAGGGACCAAAAATTAAAATTTAATTTTTTAGGAGAGCCATTCTTTGAAGGAAAAATTTAGAGGGACTAAAAATGAAATTTGAGATATTTAGAAGGACCAAAAACTTATTTAACCCTTAATAAAATGAGTAGATTTAAAGAAGTAACTACTCCATTTGATCATGTTGTCAAACTTCAAAAGAATAATGTAAGAGAAATGGCTCAATTAGAATATGCAAGTGTAATAGGGTGTCTTATGTACTTAATGCAATGTACCAGACCTGATTATCATTTGCAGTTAGTAACATGTGTAGATTTACTAGTAATTTAAATAATGACCATTGGAAGGCAATCACACAGATTTTCAACTATCTACTAAAAACCAAAAATCCTAGCCTTCACTATGGCAGGTTCTCTGCCATACTAGAAGAATATATTGATGCAAGTTGGATATCTAATGTTAGAGATCATAAATCCATAACTGGGTGGATATTTACACTAGCGGGAGGAGAATTTTTTTGGAAGAGCAAGAAACAAACATGCATTACTCTTTCAACCATGGAATCAGAGTTCGTGGATCTTGCTTCCACTGGTCAAGAAGCGGAATGGTTAAGAGACTTTCTGTTGTAAGTTCCATTGGCTAAAGACAATGTTTCAAAGGTGTTGATACATTGCGATAGCTAAGCCACTCTAGCTTGAGCTTCAGTGAAGTGTATAATGGAAAGTCTAGACACATAATACTTAGATATTCCTTCTTGAGTAAATTGATTAAGGATGGAATCATTTCACTCACCTATATACGAACGAGCTATAATTTGACTGATCCATTTACAAAGCCACTGGCCAGATACTTAGTAAAGACATCCTCGAGAGGTATGGGGTTGAAACTCCTTGAATAAAAGTTCCAACGACGACGACAATCCAATCTTACGTTAACATGACATTAACCTCAAGAGTCAATGGGTAACAACAAGTCATTGATTTGGATGTATGTCAAACATTTGGTATTAATGTTTACTATTTCAAATTGAGGGTTGATTTTTTTCAAACTCTTAATGAAGTTTAATACCGAGGATAAGTATCTCATGGAAAATGATACAATATGAATTTTTTCAAATTGAGGGTTGAGTTTTTTCAAACTCTTAATGAACTTCACCTATGTGAATTTCGAGATGGTGTCGTCTCAAAGTGAGAGTTAGAGTTTCTCTCACAGAAAACTCATGAAACAGGAAAGCATGTGGCCATAAATAAGTGCCAGGCGAGAAATATAGGTGAAGAATCCTTGAGGAATGTGTGTAAGGTAACGCCAGTCTAATCACATGGATTAATGATTTAAAAGCATTGCTACCTAACATTTCGATTAGACTTTACATTGTTCTTACTAAGGTTAAGTTTTAAATAGAAATATACTTAACTGTATTAGCATTCTTTATTTTCTCTCTTTCTAGAATCAACCTTGTCGTTATTAGAACAAGTAGGAGATTGTTATAGTTTATGTATAATAAATTTTCATGGATGTGTTCCAAAATGATAAAAAAGAACAAGTGAGTAAATGACAATAAATGCTTATGAAATAATCCCACATAGAAAATAAAACTCACTTTAAAACCATTTATAAAGAGTTAATGTCATTAATTCATCAAAAGAGTTAAAGAGGATAAAGTGTCACATGAATAAATATGGTGGTCTCAAACATACTCCCTCTGGTCTCATTTATAAGAAAAAATTAACTTTTTATATACATTGAATAAGTAATGTATTTGGACAATATGCCATTAGATCCATCCAAACACCACTCCCTGGTGTCGCCACCGACAACACTGACTCCAGGACCGGGTCCGAGGGCGTGGGCATAGTGTCGCTAGTGGCAGCTTGTAGGCGAAACTTTCGCGGATCTGGGGGCGTGGGCGTAGAGGCACTAGTGGCGGCTTGTAGGTAACACTTAAGAACTTAGGCAAGACACATCAGAGTGCCGACCTTCGGCTAACATGAAATGATTGTTGCGTGAAACAACATGTACTATAATTAAGTCATTCCGGATTTAGAAATGCATCACAAAAATGTACATCCTCTTCACCATAAATTTTAGACACTCTTTGCTACATTCGAGTTTTTGTCGGTCTTGCGCAAATTCGATAAAATAATTGAATTATCCTAGATATTTCTGTGTTCCAACTCTAAAACATATTTGAGAGTGCTTGAAATATTCATAAAAAAAAGGATTCTCACGATTCAAGTTTGGATCCATTCGATTTTCAAAGTTTTTCTAACATTTACCATATATTTTTGTTAAAAAGAGAAAAATATAAATGGTTGGCTCATATAGCTGAACCTTCTAATTGTCATAGATGTTATTTGAGTCTAAAATTCTCAAGTTGTTTTTTTTTTTTTGGCTAAAAATAATCTCTAGTAGATATGTTAAAACTAAACTCTCCATCTATCTTTGAATTTAAATTTATATATACTAAATGAAATTAACTATTTATCTATAATTAAAAAATCCAGGATCTTGACACGTATTATATGAGAGATATCTACTACACAACTAATTTTAAAAGTGTGCGAATTTCATAGTTAAACTGTATTGTAAATGTTTATCATGATTTGCAGTTCTCTTTACTTTTGCATGAGTGTACTTTCTTTACTTACGGAATGCATGAGTATACATCCAAAAGAAAACTATGCAGAACATGTATGGTATGATAGTACTAGTTTTCCAAATGGTGTAAACTACCACAAGACAAAAATACAATAAACAATACAATAGGCTTCCAGATAGTACTTGTACCAACACTATCTTCCACTTTTTCATGACCCTTCACACCCAAGGCATTTCCTGTGCATGCAACCATATCATATCATATAATTTTAACCAATGAGTTATATATATAGTTTACATTGATTTTACTTTTCATTATATCTTCACATTGTAGCAATAGTAGGAAGGAGTGAGTGTTAAAATGTATAAGAGACAGCTGCAACAGCTATGCCACCTGAGAAGGTGGAGTTTGCCAACATACTCTGCCATGTATGATGGTCCTCCACACAAGCCAAGCTATAAGGCTTCTGTTCTTGTCAACGGTGTCACTTTTACTTCTTCCGGCACTTTCAATACATCAAAAGAAGCTCAAAACCAAGCTGCAATGAGAGCTTTTCTCAACTTATCTTCTCCTTCATCTGGTACTCTACTTCTTTCTCTTTCTGAGTTTGCTTTGGTTCCTTAAAAAATGAGTGTCTTTTAAATCTTGCTTTGGAAATGATATGATGATCTTGTATTTGAAACGTTTGGTATTTTGAAAAGTCATTTCTTTATGAGCAAAACTAAATTTTGTGATTCATGACTTCCCCACAGGCTCTTCAACACCAAGAGATGAATATGGTTCAAAAGAGGAAGTTGAAGCTGCCAAATCTCAAGAGACTCCCGTTATTAGGACTGGTAAACAATTTCTTTCACTTTACTCACTCATGTGTTTGCAACTCTTTGAAAATCTTGTAACTAATGTCTAAACATTTTCTAACAAAATAATGAACTCATTCTTTCAGAGACGGCTCGTTTGAGCAAACATCAGTTGCAAAACTATGCTAGAAAGAACAATCTCGATCCACCTGTTTATACAATTAAAACTGAAGGGCTACTTCATGACATTCACTTCAAGGCTTCTGTTGTTATTGGTGGGAAATCATTTGACAGCCCAACATTTTTCAACACAAGAAAAGAGGCAGAACAAGCTGCTGCAAAAGTTGCTTTGATGGAATTGCCAATTTCAGATGACTTGTTTAACAAGGCAAGTGTCCTTGTAATTTCAAATTGGCTTCTTTTAGATAATTTATGATCATCAAATTGATAACTAGATTTTTTTTATGTTTCATAACACATTTCTGAGCTAATGTTGGCAAAAACCAAAGTTGATATAGCTTCTGATATTATGATATGTTCATAAATTGTTTTTCAGCTTAATTTTATAAACTTTTAAGATAGCTTATGGAAATAGGTTATAACTTATATGAAAAAAAAATTGACTTTATTCAGTTATTAATATAGGATCTAATAGTATATTAACAGTGTTTGAAGGTCAAACTTATTCAAGTTTACTTATCTACATTAGTATAGTTCTAACTGAATTTTGATTTTGTATTCTATTTATTCAGGATGAATCTTGTCCAGCCAAGAGTTTACTGCTTGAATTAACACAGAGAGAAGGTTTTTCGAAACCAATATATAAAACTACAGAGGCTCGTTCTTCGCCACCTTTTTCCTCAACTGTGGAAGTAGAGGGTGTTGAATTTCATGGAAAGGCATCTTGGTCCAAAAAACAGGCAGAACATGATGCTGCAAAGATTGCTTACACTGCCTTAAAAGAGTGTAAGTTCATTCATTTGACTTTGCTTTCGACCGTAAGAATCACAAACAAATTTGGCCCTTCATCTTCACACAATGGACTTCCTCCTGTAGAGATTTCTGAGTCAAACAAGGCAAAAACTTCCAATACAAATACAAGTAGCTACTCACTTTGTAACAGGTTCAAGGTCTACACAAATTTTCCAAATATTATATTCCCTGAGGAGATTACACTTGTGCCTATTGGTGACGATAAATGGATTGCAGCGAGGTTGGAATGTCCAAATGACAAAGACGTTTGATTCTGGTTAAAAAGTTTCATGTATTACTTTGGTTTCAAGTATTAGAAAACGTTATGTTAAATGTATGTTGCTATTTGGATTCAAGTTAACCTCTAGATGACTTATTTAAATATTTAAATATTGTTTATGTTTGAATTCAGTTTCAAGAGAGACAAAATTGATTCTACTAAAAAGATTGATTTTGATTTTGATATTTAATTTGATTTTGTTTAATACACATCAAAATATGAGTGCAAGTTAAAAAAACAAAACTTACCTACCAGTAAAATTTATTTGATTTTTTCAAAAATGTGTTACCATAGTTGATATCACGAACAATAGCTAATGTGAATTGTGAAATGCTATTGTATGACAAAAATGAAAACACAATGATATAATATTATCTTTTCTTAATTTTCACTAACTCAGTTCATCTGAAAATCTTAACTAGCATGCTGGTATAAAGGTACAACTGTACATAGATATCAATATACTTTAATTATATTCCATTATAAAACCTCTATATATGCATGCTTAGGATTCTCTCCATTTAATTGACATTTGCAGTTAGAATATGATTTTAGTCTATGTATTTAATTCTCTCTATAAATATAAGCATCTATTCATGATAAAAAAAGGTAGAAGTGTACGTTAAACAAATGAGCCCTGCTATAGAACTGTTAAGTATATCATCCAACAAGCAATGTGATTAAATTTGGGTTTGCATGCAATCTGAGACAACGAAAAGTTATTTAAAAAATATAATTTTATACGATATTGATATTGTGTTGTATTTACATATTTCACTAAACAAATGATTTTAACTTGTGAAATATTGACTTCCAAATTGATAGTTTCAAAGAGGAAGTGAGCAGAGTGATTCTTTGGTTGATCATAAACCCTTATCTACTTTAGGTTTAAGGTGGGCATATCTGGATTGGTGGTGTCTCACCTTTAGTATCCAGTAGTTACTCTCCTAATATATGTCCTAATATATGAACCTACTTTGGTGAGTTTGTAGAGTATTAAGACTATTCTTAAAGGTTTTGAACTGACTTTGAGACATTGAGTGAATTTCTTCAAGAGTAGTCTTATAGAGGTCAATGTGGACTATGTCTTTCCAGCCTTTGCAGGATACTTCCTTCATTATGTAACTGACTCTCTTCCTTTTAAGTATTTTAGGTTTCCAGTTGGGGATAATACTCGACTTGAAATCACTTGGGATCCTTTAGTTAAATTGCTGAAAAAGAGACTCAACTCTTGGAAGCGTCAATATATTAGTTTGGGGTAAAGTGGTGCTCCTTTATTCTATGCTTAATGATATCCCCATCTTCTTCTTGTCTTTCTTGAAGACGCCTATAAAAGTTTAGAAAAAGATTGTCAAGCTTCAAAGAAGGTTCCTATGGGGGAGTGTTAAAGGTGCTTCAAAGATATAATGGATTAAGTGGGAGGATGTTTGCAATCTAAAAATCAGCGAGGGTTTAAGAGTGAGAGATCTTTGATGGGTTAATCTTGTTGTTTTGGAAAAGTGGAGATGGAGGTTGCTCACACGGGATACTGGTCTTTGGAGGGATATTCTTGTATTCAGATATAGAGCTCTAGTGGTTTCCTCTCTTAGTGAAGGGAGGAATGAAAGTTTTCGTTCCACTTCTTCTTAGTGGAAAGGGATATCCTTTTTTGGTCCTAAAGAGGATGGTAACTCTGATTGATTTGTTATGATGTTATTATGAAAGTAGGGTCGGGATCCCAAACTTCCTTTTGGAAGGTCCTTTGGCTAGGATCCGCGGCTTTGAAGATTAATTCCTTTGTTTGTTCTTGAACCTTATTTAGTATGATAGGTTGGTGTGAGAGACTGATTTGATGGTTAATGAGGTCTTGACTTAGGATCTTAGGGGCCAAAGACCTTTCTTTCTTAGAGAGCTTCCCCTTTTTGAGGAGCTAATATCCCTGCTTCGAGATGTTACTCTTTCTCTGAATAGAGATAAGTGGATATGGAAGATGTTAGATATGACATGTTCACGATGGCATCTACTTATCTTGTTCAGAGGGTTAATTTGATTCTTTCTTCGCCTTCTTAACCGAATAAGAGTCATATCATTTCCCTCATTTGGACCAGTTGGGCTCCTTTTATGATATTCGTCTTATATTGACAAATTTCGCAAGATATACTCTCATCTAGAGAAAACTTGGCTAAGAGAGGAGTAATGATGTAAGTGTGGTCTCTTGTCTTGTTTATGTGGTATAAAATCTTTAAGTGTTTGGGTGGTAGACATTTATACCTAACGATCCTAAGGTGCTTTTTGAATTTTTTTTCTTTCTTTAGGGGACAGAAGAAATATAGGGGTAGTTATCTTTTGATTTGGTACGCTATAGTTTGTTCCATTTGGAAACCCATAATGATGGTATCTTTAACAAAGTCACAAAATCAACAAAAGAGGTGGATGAGAAGATTGTATTTTTGTCTGGAAAGGGTTTATGGGTAGCCCAGGGGTGGAATCTTGCACCTTCACTTAGTGGTTTTAAAATCCTAACCTTTTCTTGTATCCTTAGCGGATCGAGTGTTTCCTTGGTTCAGAGGTAGGTTTTGGCTCTTGGTTTTTTTGGTGATTTTTTTATGAGATTTGATCTGTTGATGGTGGATTTGGAGCCTTTAGATCTAACTTGTTTCCACCAAGAAGGATTTGTGTTTATAGAATGGGATTTTATCTGCGAGGACCTCTGTGTCAGTAGTATTGGTTGGTTTGTTTTTGTTGTTTATTTTTATACCGTAGCTTTCAATCTTTTGTAGCCTCCTGGACTTCTTATTTTTTGTGTCTACCTTTGTTGTACTTTGGTGATTCTTCACCTCCTCTTTTTACTATATTATTATTTGTCAATAAAAACTATTTTAACTTGTGCAAGGAATGCTCCCCCAAGAGAGAAGAAAAATATGTTTTTGGTACTATTAGAATTTTTAGAAAGCATTAATGATGAAGTCATAGATTGGGGCCTGACAACAACATGGTGGAGCTATGGTGGTGGTAATCCGAGCTGAAAGCATAAATCTATTGTTTGGTATCGTTTATATGCATTAGTATCTTTTGTGTGTTTTGATGGTTTGTCAGTTTGATTATTGATTGATTGCGTATTTGTATTTTGTATATCGTTTATCATTCGTATGAGACACTACTTGATGAAATGGGACATTATAGGGATCACACAATCTCAAACCTAAGCTTTTATCGGTTTTAGCTTCGATCCACAAATAATCCCTAAATGGAAAGTATTCAACATAGGTCATACCAAATATTCCCTAGGTGAATTTTACAATTATAACCTACTAGAATTACATAAGTATCCTCACCCATAAAATAACTTTTCTCACAAAAGCATTTGACTATAACATCTAGTGAGAGAAAGTTAAAGTAAAACTTTAGAGAGAGTGTGAGAGATGGAATTGTCAAAACACGATTCTGGATACTTTGAATTGAGAAATGAGGCCTCTATTTATAGGCAAGAGGTGTACCCAAAACAAAATTCTCATTTAATGATTTTTACTTTTAGCTAATCGATTATATGAAAAGCTAATTGATTAGATTTAAAAAAACAATCGGTTATATGTTTCAAAAATTGAAATTTAAGATATGTTATTGTTGTGTATCATTAAGGCATTGTCTAAATGATTTGGGGCTTAATTTTGAATTGATCTAATTGATTATACAAATGTCCTAATTGATTAGATTATCCAAATATTTCCCTCTAGCCATTTTCACGGCTCCTAAGTCATCTAGTACAACTTCAATACATTTTTGAAAAGTCCATTTGCTTTTACATAAGGTCACTCACTTACTAACCTAGGAGATTAACTTCTTCTATAAGCCTTTTTCCATATGTTATCTTATATGTTTGACATTGCTTGAGATCACTTGAGGCTTTAGATAAGTGCACTTTATTTTCCTTCCTTGAATAGTCAAGTTCATCAAACCATATCACTTGGGTTTGCATATTTAACCTCTTAAGCATTATGCTTGACTTATCATCAGTTTTCTTTATGGTTGACCTTATGATTGATCTTATAGATGTCTTTACAGTTGTCTTTACGATTGTCCTTATCGTTGTCATCAACAAAAGATGATGTCTTGGTTAAAGGTATATTACCTGCAAAATAAGATTCCACATTTACAACATGCTTCATGCATATATGTAGATTTAACATGATGTTGATTGGGCATACCCTTCATATCCATGCACACGTATTCATGCATATGTACATCATGATGCTACGGCATGGCTAGCTTCTTCTACATATTACATATGGTATATACATTGCAAGCTTTATATAAAGCACCTACATGTTTTGCTTGATTTACATACTATCAACAGTCTACTCTTAATACTCCCTTACAAGCTCAAGTAATATTGAAAGCGGTGACTTTGATCTTAGTTTGTAGCTCATGGAGCGCTAAAGTACGAAGAGGTTTCATAATTGTATATGTAGCTTGCACGCTATTCAGAACAAGCTAAATTTTCAGTTTATTTGCAATGACTCTTTCACGAACAAAGTGGATATTCAATTCAATCTTCTTGGTTATAGCATGGAGGATTGGATTATGGGATAGCAACAACACACTCAGTTAGTCACATAATAAAGTAGGAGGAAGATACGAGATTGAAAGCTCAGATAATAACGATTCTGTTCACAAAAGTTCAGAAGTAGTGTGTGCTAGTGCTCGATACTCGGTTTCAATGCTGGGATGTGTAACTAGAGGCTTCTTATTCGAGCTCTATGACACAAGATTTGGCCCAATATAAATGCATGAACCAGAGGTTGAACGCCAGTCATTAGGGTTACTCGCCCAATCAGAATCACTATAGGCCATGAGAGAGAACTTATGAGAGGTTGTAGCAGGTGCAAGATGCATACCCCGAGTGATTGTTCCTCTAAGGTATCACAATATTCGCTTGGTAGTTTCCCAGTGAGATTCAGAGGGGAAGCCTTAAATTGGAAAGCCTTATTAATGTTGAAGGAGATCTCGGGCCTG